CTTTTCATTTGATGTAATCTCACTTGTTAATCTTTGCTTTTGTTATCTTTGCCTTTGAGGTCTAGTCCAAAAATATGTTGCCTAGTCCAGTGTCATGAAGCCTTTCCCTTATTTTTTCTTCTAGTGGTTTCATAGTCTTGGGTCTTACAGTAGGCTGTTTGAGATCGTTCTACCTTTTTGATATAGGCATTTATTTCTACATACTCCTCTCTTAGAAATGATTTTGCTATATTTCATAGGTTTTAGTATGCTGAACTTCCATTTTCATTTCTTTTTTTTATTATTTATTTATTTAAAATGTTTTATTTCCATAGGTTATTGGGGATAAGGTAGAGTTTGGTTACATGAGTAAGTTCTCTAGTGGTGATTTGTGAGATTTTGGTGCACTCATCACCCAAGCAGTATACACTGTACCCTATTAGTGGTCCTTTATTGCTCATCCCCTTCCTACCCTTTACCCCTGAGTCCCCTAAGTCCACTGTGTCATTCTTATGCTTTTGCATCCTCATAGCTTAGCTCCCACTTGTAAGTGAGAACATATGATGTTTGGTTTTCCATTCCTGAGTTATTCTCTCACTTAGAATAATAGTCTCCAATCTCATCCAGGTTGCTGTGAATGCCATTAATTCATTCCATTGTATGGCTGAGTAGTATTGTGTCTTTATTCACTTGTTGATTGATGAACATTTGGGTTGGTTCCACATTTTTGTCATTGTGAATTGTGCTGCTATAAACGTGTATGCAAGTATCTTTTTCGTATAATAACTTCTTTCCCTCTGGGTAGATACCCAGTAGTGGGATTGCTAGATCAAATGTGAAATTATAAAATTTTCCTTTTAATATCTGCATTAATCCATTGGTTATTTAGGAGTATTGTTGTACTGCACTCTCTCTCTCCCTTTAGATGTACTCCTATTTGTTTTATATATTTGAGTGCCTCATTGTTGGGTGCATATATATTTATAATTGTTGCATTCTCATGCTGAATAAATACCTTCATCATTAATGACCCTTTTTATCTCTTTTTACAGTTTTTGACTTAAAGTCAATTTTTGCAGATATAAGCATAACTACTCCTGCTCAGTTTTTGCTTTCATTTAAATGGGCTGTCTTTTGCCATTTCTTTACTTTCAGTTTGTATGTGTTTTTATGGGTGAAATGGGTCTCTTGTATATAGCGTTTAGTTAGATCTTGTTTTTTTTTCAATCCATTCAGCCATTCTGTACATTTTAACTTGATAATTTAATCCATGTACATTCAAGGTTATTATTCGTGCCATTTGGTTGATGATTTTCTGACTGTTTGGTGAATTCTTTGTTACTTCCTTTCTCTCTTGTTGTTTACCTTTGTGGTTTGATGATTTTGCCATGGTACTAAGTTTTGACTCCTTTCTCTTTCTTTTTTGTGTGTCTGCTGCAGTTTATTCATTGTGGTAACCGTGGGACTGACATAAAAAAATCTTGTTGTTATAATAGCCAGGTGCAATGGCTCTGCTTGTAATGCCAGCACTTTGGAAAGCTGAGGTGAGTGGATCACCTGAAGTCAGGTGCTCAAGACCAGCCTGGGCAACATGATATAACCCCATCTCTACTAAAAATACAAAAGTAGCCAGGCATAGTGGCATGCCCCAGTAGTCCAGCGACTCGGGAGGCTGAGGCAGGAGAATCGTTTGAATCCAGGAGGCAGAGGTTGCAGTGAGCCAAGACTGCTCTACTGCACTCCAGCCTGGGTGACAGAGCAAGATTCCATCTCAAAAAAATAATAATCTTATAGTTATAATAGACTATTTTAATATTTTAAACCAATAACAACTTAATGGTGCTCATGTAAAGATATTCTGGACTATTTTCCTTCCTTTGCCCCACAATTACCATTTTTTGCCTTAATTTACATCTTTTTATATTATGTATTCCTTAACTATCTAATTATAGCTGTTGTTATTGTTGAAATTTTTACTTTTAACTTTTATACTAGAGATTTGAAAGCTATAAGTTGCACCGTTATAGTACAGGAACATCCTGAATTTCGTTATGAATTTTTCTGTACTAGCAAGTTTTATACTTTGCTGTGTTAGCATGATAGTGATTATATTTTCACTTGCAATTGTAGTGCCCTTTAAACATTTCTTGGAAGACCAGTCTAGTGGTGATGCATTTCTTCAGATTTTGCTTGTATGAGAAGTACTTTATTATTTTTTACTTTCTGAAAAATACTTTGCTAAGCATAGTATTCTTTGCTGAAATATTTTTTCTTTCAGCACTTTGAATATGTCATCCTCTTCTCTCTGGGCCTGCAAGGTTTCTACTGAGAAATCTGCTGGTAGTCTAATCGGGGTTTCCTCATATATGACCTGATTTTTTTTCTTGCTGCTGTTCCAGTTCTTTGCCTCTGACTATTGACAGTTTGCTTATAGCATGCCTCAGGGAGGACATTTTAGGCTTGAATCTATATGAAGACCTTTGAGTTTCATGGATATAATACATGTTAAGTATCCAACCAATGCTAATTTCTTTTCCAGGTGGCATTAAGTTATTTCATGCCTCTGTCACTTTCAGATTCTATCATAAAGCAAACATGCTCTATTTTTTCTTTGACCATACAAAGATATTAACTTGAAAATGTAGTATGGATATTATACCAGGCCTCAAGTGAGATATCTGGCCTTCCGATAGTTTTGTAACTTTGTGAAATTGCAGAAAACTGCAAGTCTCAGTTCACTAGTCTAAAAAATGGAAGAGATACTCAAGAGGATTTCAAACTGCTTTTAAGCTGGGAATCTTTGGCTTGGTTCTCTTGGTTGCATATCACAGAAAACCGCATTAGTCTAGCCTAAACAAACAAAAATATATTTTATTGAAAATATACTGTCTGGAATCTCAGGGGCAGAAACCTATGTTCACTTTATTGTTCTGCTATTAATATGATTTATTGTTCTGAATTTTTATGCCTCAATTCAAACTTCCTTTGGAAAGAATCTGATTAACTCTTCTTGTGTCTACTTCAGTCACAAAAAGTATTATCTGAGAAATTATCAGTAAGATAGCACAAACATAGCTATTGGTACCTGCTCCTTAGGTTGGGGGGGAGGGGATATAATTTTCAGAGAAGATTATATGAGCTGAATGGACAATAAAAAAAATTATCTTGTATAGTTTTCTTCTTAGATGTTCAAAACAGATGTGCTTTTCTTTTCGCACATGTGATTCCAAACTCATTTATCATGATTCAACTCTCCTATATAAAAATACAGACATATAGCTCCTCCCCAGTGAAAGGCAGTAAGAGGTCATTCATTTACCATATCTAGAAGAGATGTCATTGAAGAATTTTTCTCGGAATCTATAATTTCTAGGTGATGTTCATTTTTCCTTAATCTACTTCCAGCTGCTTTATTATTTTATAGTCCATGAACTGGTTAATTTGATAACACATATCATACATTTCTGGTGTATTTGTGAAGTGAGTTTCTTCTGTCTGCCATAATGAATTCAATTCCTTCTACTAAGTAATAAAAAAAAAACAAATATAATGTTATCCACAAGAACCTTTATAAAGTTTGACTTTTGAGGCTTTTATGAAACTCTAAAAAATGTTAACTATTCATTTATATTTTAATTTGTCAAGTTTATAAAAATAGTTCATATAGTCTAACCTTGGGAAATATTTAATTAGCACACTAAAAAATAAAACACTATTTTAAATAGATTCCCTGCCTTTCCTCATCTCCACCCTACCCCACAAAATATTTCAAGGATAAAAATAAATTAAAACAAATGAAACAGGTAGAGAAAAAAATAGAAACTGATTGGTTGCTGAGAAGCTAAGCAGTAATAATTGAGACTATTACCTGAAGAAAGGCAATTATTAATTTTTTGAAAAAATCAAACCATCCTACTGTCAATTTGAAAGAGTTCTAAAGGAAGCAATTCTACAACATCCCCTAGTTACTAGCTGCTAGAAAATATTTTCTCTTCCTAGTGTTTTAGCTGACTTAAATATGGTATAGAAATAGTTTTGCCTCCATGGGTCTTGACAAAGGACACAAAATGTTTTCCTTGGCCCTATATTAAACTGCCTGAAGCCTGTCAATCTCTTGAGATAATCTAATAGGAAAAATTTGAGGGTTTTACATGACTTAAAGACAGGCCTCATGCACACATATAGGCCCCTTTATCTTTGAAAAATTCAGACAGGCTCTCCTTGCTTCCAGCTTTCAAAAGTACAGACTCAATTTTAAGAAAGAATATTGCTATTCCAGATATTTTTGAAAATTCTTAGGCAGGGTTGAAAAACAGACCTATAACAAGCTTATCTTGAAAACAATTTACAGTAAGATCATAGAGACTTAATGAGTGTGTTCCATTTCCAGTAAGAACATAGGAAGCAATAAAATATGGTTATTCTTTCCATAACTAGAAAACACTGGGTAAACTAAATCATTAGTTTTTTCTGCTAAAGCTGTCTAAGAGCTATAGATGAAAAGAAGTTCAAAATGAACTAAATTTCAGAGAAGAATGAGGGCTTGTTAAGTAAGAGAATAAGCATTTGCTCACATATAGGGGGTGGCCACAGCCTTGTTTGTTACGGAATGGCAGAAAAGCAATTTTATCAAAGGCAGGGAGGCTCTGTTAGCACAAAGAAATCACAATTGAGTTTTTCATGAACATGTGGTTTATCATGGGGAATAAAAATATGAAATACCCCAAATGCAAAATTAATCGTCCCAGCTTTCCAGGTCTCCCACAGAGCATATTTTGTTAAATGAACCATGACTGCCTAGGGAGGGAGCTAAGAAGCAGAAGGAGATATAGTGGTGCTTAGATCCCAGAGTCTCAAAGTAGTGCTTTAAAAATACTATTAAAATACATTAGTAAGTTTAGAAGAAGAGATACATAAAATGTTCAATAGTGTGGAATTGTTCAGAAAAAAATGACGTTTATAAAGAACTAAATAATTATAAAACTGAAATTTTCAAATTTTGAAGTATAAAGTTTATTGGAATTAAATAGCTTATGCAACCTTCTATAGGAGGATATTACACAGTAAAAGAAAGGATTAGTGAATTGAAATTATCTAAACTGAGTCAAGAGAGGAAAAATCATAAATAGAACAGAGACCCATGAGATAATACATATAGAATCCTATAGATAATATACACTGGAATCCTAGGAGAAGAGATAAAGAATGGAACAAAAGAAATAGACAAGAGGCAATGATTGCCTTTTTTTTTTTTTTTTTAACAAAGTTAATACTAGTATCAATCTGCAGATCCCAAAGGTCCAGTGAACTTAAAGTAGGACAAATACAGTGAAAACCCTATCTAGGCATATCAGTCAACCTGTTGAAACACAAAAATTTTAAAAGTTAACAGAAAATGTCAAAAGCAGTCAGAGAATAAAGTCTCATTGCTAAATTCAAGTGAAAAAATGTTAAACATAAAAGCTGACTTCTTAATTCTCATAAAAAACAATGGGAACCAAAAAACACAATAGGGTGCCATTTAATGTGCTAAAGAAAGTAACTATCAACTCTGATTTCTAGATCCAGCAAAATTATTCTTTGAAACTACAAATAAAACACAAGCTGAGAAAATTTGTTACAGAAGGCCCATAATACTAAAGAAAACTCTTCAGGTTAAAGGTAAATGATGATAGAAGTCCGTATCTTCAGTGAGAAATGAAGAGCACCAGAGTAGCAAATATGTTGATAAATGTAAAGTGTGTGTGTGTGTGTGTGTGTGTGTGTGCGCTTTTGTAAAAGACTATTATTGACTGAAGCAAAAATAACAATAATAAATAAGGTTTATGCTAGATATAGAAATTAAATATGAAATAGGACTAAAAAAGGAGTAAAGAAAATTATACTGTGGTAAAGTGTTTTTTTGTTGTTGTTTTTTGAGACAGAGTCTAGCTGTCACCCAGGCTGGAGTGCAGAGGTGCCATCTTGGCTAATCTTCTGTTTCCCAGGTTTAAGCAATTCTCCTGCCTCAGCCTCCTGAGTAGCTGGGATTATAGGCACCTACCACCATGCCTGTCTAATTTTTCTACTTTTAGTAGAGATGGGGTTTACCATGTTGGCCAGGCTGGTTTCAAACTCCTGACCTCAAGTGATCTGCCTACCTCTGCCTACCTTGGCCTCCCAAAGTGCTGAGATTACAGGTGAGAGCCACCGCCCACGGCCTGTGGTAAAGTTTTTACAGTGGATTATAATAAACTAAGGAGGCATACTTTAGTCACTAAAGAACCATCAAAAATGTAAAAAGAAACAGAGAGATAGCTAAAAAACCTCCAAGAAGAAAAAAATTGAATACTATAAACTATTTGTTTAATCTACAAGAAGTCAGGAAAGGAAGACTAAATAAGAAAAAAGATCAGTGAGACAAACAGAAAACAAATAGCATGGTAAGCTTAAACCCAGTCACGGAATCCTGTGAAATAGAAAATGAAGCCCAGTCCAAATATATATCAATATAGTGTTTTCTGCTTTGAGTATAAAGGTCAGTAATAGGTAGTCACTGCTTCTCCATCCACATTTTCACAACTGTATTTTATTCTATGAGCACATTTGTAATAGTATATTTCTTCTGCCAATATCACCTCCCCTTACTGTTACCATTTGAGTGGAAAAATTGTCAGCTGACACATTGCCACGAAAAACTCAATGACTATACTAAATAGCCTTTCATATAAGACACATTTTCATCTTAAATTTGAGAGAATAGATGTGTAAGATTTTGATTTACTCCAGTCCTAAGTACAAAAATTATTTATGTATTCACTTCATTAGAGACGAGGTCTTGCTCTGTCATCCTCTCTGAAGTACGGCAGCGTGATCATGGCTCACTGCAGAATGGACCTCCTGGGCTGAAGCAATCCTCCCATTTCAGCCTCTGTAGTAGCTGGGAATATAGGCACACACCATCACACTGAGCTATTCTTAATTTTTTTGTAGAGATAGGGTCTCACTACATTTCTAGGCTGTTGTCAAATTCCTGGGCTTAAGTGATCTTCCTGCCTCAGCCTCTTACAGTGGAAAATTTCATTTTGACCATTGAAATGTTTCTACAAATATGGTTTGCACAGACCAAATGTTCAGTTTCAAATTATAAGTTATGTCTCTAAGAAAGAAGCATGAAAAATAAATGCTGTATTTGTCTGTAAGAGGAACACTAGCTTCCAATTAATTCTATTCTGATAATAAAATAGAAGGTGGAATAAATTTCAGTAAGGATACATATAATTTTCATCTCGATCTAATATTTATAAAATGTTAGTAAGTTTTTATTGTTCAGTAAAGTATAGTAAGTTTTTATTGTTTTGCTATTTGCAAAACAAAGGGTGTGTAAATAACTATTAATCAAATGTCTAATAGAAGACAATCAAGCTTTCTTTCCTGGTCAGATATATTGTAGTCTAAAATATCTTTGCTTTTTCTGCCTTTTAGATCTTGCTTGCTCATATTCAGTTGTATGCGAACTAGAAATAAACCTTGTGTCTAACACAGTGAAGTTTTGGGAGCTGTTTGCTTGAATAGTTAATTAACTCTAATGTGAGAGTAGACAATTACATGTTTTTAAAATACTAATGTAGCAACTTGAATATGGATTGATCATTTTCATAAAAGTCAAACAGCTCTTGAAGGAGAGTGTCATCTGTGCCCTTATAAAAGTAGTGAGTGAGAGTAACAAAGAAGTTATGTCCAGCTTTTGATGAGTAGTTTCTATTTCTCTACAAAATAATGATTGAAGTAATTGAAATATCAGGGCTCCAGAGTAGGGTAGGAGCAAAAGAGATCTAATTTAATAAGAGAACAAACAAAAGTAAAAGCGGCAATTTTAGGCGTATTGTCTGGATTGACTATGATAATTTTAAGTAAATGGACAGTGGTAGTCTGTAAAAGGCTCAAATCCTACTGCTTGAAGAAGCCTATTATTATTGTAGCCAGGTGAATTCTTGAAATGTGCTCTGCTTCGGTGCCCACTCCATCTTCCCTTTCTAACAGGGTGAATTAAAATAATTAAACCAAAAGTTGACTCCTATGAATACCTAGCATGATCAACGGCAAGACTTTTGATGAAACAGGATAAAAATCAAACGCTTTGCTGTGTGATCATGGAGGATGAGGCATGGGGCAGGGGAGATGCAGGGTAGTTGTATGTTATTGTTGTTGTCTTCTGAAGAATTGGGTTCAAACTCAAGGAAAATATTCTTTACTAAATCTCACTTTAAGCAGTCTGTCTCAAACAAGCAAAAAAAAAAAAAAAAAAAAAAACCACTTGTTTTGAGATATGTTCACTTTGCCAGTAACTAACATGCCTGAGTTCTTACATGAAAGAACCCATGGGAAAAAAATCTACTCTTGCAGAAAGATCTGATATTCACCCACAGAAAGGAGTAAAATGATTGACATAGAGTCTTGAGGAAGATGTCCGTCACAGGCAGGTCTTCATGTTGGATGTGAGCATGGAGAGGAACGCAGGCAACAGCAGATAAAGGGCCAGTGACAGAGAAGGTAAAACTAATTCCTGATCACTTTTCAGGTAACAAAGATCACTCAGGGAGAAATGAAGTGAAACCCAGCAATACCCATGTCGTATGATTTTAGGCTCTTAAAGAGAAAACTTTGTTCTCCTAAGTACTATTTTTGAAACAGTATACTTTCTCTCTTCTTAACTTTATTTTTTTTTTTGGAGATGGAGTCTCACTCTGTCACCCAGGCTGGAGTGCATGGTGCCATCTTGGCTCACGGCAACCTCTGTGTCCCGGGTTCAAGGGATTCTCTGCCTCAGCTTCCTGAGTGGCTGGAACTACAGGCGCATGCCAGCCACCATGCTTGGCTAATTTTTTGTATTTTAGTAGAGATGGATTTAACTGTGTTTGCCCAGGCTGGTCTCGAACTCCTGAGCTCAGGCAATCTGCCCATCTCGGCCTTCCAAAGTGCTAAGATTACAGTTGTGAGCCACTGTGCCTGGCCTCTTCTTGAAAATACACAGCTATCAATGTCCTAAATGGTAACAAAAATGGCCTAAATGATGCCTCTCAAATTAGCAGACTTCATGGTTATCCATCCATTTATTTTGCTGTAAAATGTTATTTATTTATTTAAAAAAATTTTTTTGTAGAGATGGGGTCTAGTTAGATTGCCAGAACTGGTCTTGAACTGGCCTCAAGCGATCCTCCTTCCTCAGCCTCCCAAAGTGTTGGAAGTCACCATGCCTGGCCTGTAAAACCTTTTTATATGCTAGGTCGTGGGAATACAGAAGTGAATATGGCACTGACCTCAAGCAGCTTGCAGGTAGCAGGCATGCAAACAAAATCAGTGCACAGTACAAGTAGCACACACCGAGCAGGGTACTGTTGATTTGTGAAATACGCAGGATAGAGAGAGGGGCTTATTCCTCCTGGGTTAGCAGTGAGGACGCTGGAGAAAATTCTACCCTCACAAAATCCTGTTTTGTTATTTTGTCTTTGGCGTCTAATTCTAGCTGCCTACTAATGTGAGAGCACTTTCTGGAAGCCAAATTACTACTAAGATATTCTAGATACAATAAATTATAAAATACCATATTCTATGAACAGTGTTTAGATCTCTGGGGGTTTTTGAGATAATTGCTGCAGTTTCCCCCAGAATTCGTATACCAACAAATACTATGACTGGCTAATTCCTCAAGCCCTTTGGATTTTATTAGGTGTTCTAATCATCAGTGAGCAGGGCAGCTTTGCACAAAGCCACTCAGTTGGGAGGACTCAGAGTATCTGGTAAGGGCACTGCCCAGAGCATGCTCAAATGTGTCAGTTGTAGCCAGAAGGGAGATTTTTTTCAATGCACTGACTTTCATCACAGATACAGCTTTCTCCTGGCCATCAAAAAACAGGAAAGGAAAAGGAGAAGAACGACAGAAACAGACAATGCATACACATCTCAGTTTTAAACCCCACAGTGTCCATGTAAATGTGCCATTGTTATCTCTCACGGTGCTACAGCGAGAAGAGCATCATTTAAGCAGAAATATAATTTGAAAATGACAGAGATTAAATAAATGGCAAGGGCAAAACTAGAAATGAAAGGAGGGAAGTCTAACTGTAAGCCTCTTCCCAGGACCGTGGCACCATATTGTCTCCAAAGCAGCAGTGAAATCCGCGTGTGAAGAGATCATGACTGCAGTGAATCTGTGAAATCTGATGATAGATAAATTGTCCTTTGTCAGTCTCATTACCAGCTTTCTAAGTTTCACTGTATTCATCTAAAAAACAAAAATCTCTGCTGAATAGACTTGATTCCAGTGGCACATATTTTTCATAATAAAACCAAAGGACCATGCGTGAATATATAAAGATCAATACCACCTTGAGTGTCTGAAGCCAATATACCTTTGTCGTCTAATGAGGAGCAGTGTGTTGCTTTATGCTTTCAGATGATTTAGATAAGGATTGGAAAGATTAAGCACCTTGTTCAAGATTGTATAGCTACAGATAGCTACTAAACAACAGAACCCATAGATGTTAGATTTCAAAGTGTTTTCTTTCCATTACTTTATACTCCCTCACTACAGCAAAAACTACAAATCCATACTTACGGCAGTTATCAAAAACAATAGAAGTGCTAATGGCAAATAAATTTGTAAGTTGTTTGAATAACCCTTCAATTTTTCTTTTTTAAGAATGATTTTTAGTTTATCACGAAGGGAATGTTGGTATTGTGTTTTAATCACGGACTTAGGTGGAAACCATAGATTCAAAGCTCACAAACCACCTTCAAAGGTTAAAAGTCTGGGATTCAGAGAGATAAAGGAAAGGGACATTTTGATCCATGAAGCAGCTTATTCACATTCAAGGACATTTGGTAGGAACAATTGTTTCCTGTGTTTACTGATGAAGTAGTCTGTCAGGTAAAAGGATGTGAGCTTCCCTTGCACCTGGTTGTTCTCTGGCTTGCAGCCCGCTTGGAAGTCCTCTTCAAGTCGAAGCAGGAAAATAAATCCTGCGCATAAATCAATCTGTGGACCCTGCTGATCAATTTTTACCTTTGCGTTCTCATATAACATTAGGGAAACTGAAGTGGTTCAATAACATCCATCCTTTTCAAATAATTTAGATTTTAAGCTAATTCACAAGGATTTCCTGGAGCCAGTTCCATTCAGTGGGACCCAAGAACTGAGGATGAGAGTGTTGGGTACATCTTTTCTCATGGAACAAGGCAGGTGGGGCAGACAGGGACTTTTACATCACAGATTCACCCTGCCACCCTGTTAACACAGACTATGTAGACAGTCAATGTAAGGTTGGTGTAAATACCAGATTAATTTCTCTTCTGACCTATCTAAAAATGCCACAAAAATTTGTATGAGATCATGTAAAACAAAGAAGGGGAATGCACAAGCTGTTCCTATGTTGATGTTTAAAGCTATCTTATTTATTCTAAGGTGATATTTGTGCAATCCTTACATAATTATAATGGTATGATTACTTTAAATGAAGATCATGTACAGCAATAAATGGAAAAATATGACTACATATACTATTTTTTGCCTTTTTTATTCATTGGGGAAATTTAGCATTATTATGATCTATTACTCCATTAATGAGGGACATTTTTGTTCAGGAGTAGAACTGCATTGTACATCTTTTCTTTTGCTTATGCAAATTTCAAGAAAAGTAATTTGATGTTTTCTCATTCTTACTATTATATTTATGAAAAAGCAATAATTTAGGTGGCTATGAATATGTATGAATAAAAGTGTTTTTTCTTTCTAAAAACTAGGAATGGCTACATGATTGTTTGTTTCAAGGTCCTTCATTGCATTTTTTTTTTTTTTGAGACAGAATCTTGCTCTGTCACCCAGGCTGGAGTCCAGTGGCACGGTCCCAGCTCACTGCAACCTCCACCTCCTGGGTTCAAGCGATTCTTTGCCTCGGCCTCCTGAGTAGCTGGGATTACAGGCACCTGCCACCACGCCTGGCTAATTTTTTGTATTTTTAGTAGAGATGGGGTTTCACCATGTTGGCCAGGCTGGTCTTGAACTCCTGACCTCATGATCCACCCACCTTAGTCTCCCAAAGTGCTGGGATTACAGGCATGAGCCACCGTGCCCAGCCCATTGCATTTTTTATTTTCTTACTAAAACATAAGGTTTTAGATTACAATTTAATCATTTGTTAACTACTTGAGCAAAAGGTCATGGAAATAGTTTAAATAAATTTATACTTTTAGATCCTAAAATAAAGAGGTGAACAATTAGAGTTGCACTAAAAGAAGACTGGTTTTTAGTTGTTCTCTTGTTCTTGTGCTTCTCCTGCCCAGTAGGGCAGTCTCATTTAGTCTTGGACACTAAATGAAAGTCCTACGCACTAAATGAAAGGAGACTGGAATAGGTCAGCGTAAGTGAGACCTTACCAATAAGGAGTGTTTTCTGTGTAGCAGTTTGAGGGAGAATTCAGAATCTCAAAATCTCATTTATTGTTCATCTTTTTTGGGATGGTAAGAACAGCCTCCCTCTTGACCCCTTAGGAAGTAGTGGTATCTGTCTCTGAAATGGTGGTCATGGTAAGAGGAATGTGAACTTAACTCACGAGGCATCTCTCAGTCAAATCCAATAGGTACCCAGCAAGGTTCGCCCAAGGTCTGCTAGTTTACGGTTATGTAATAGGATGGAAGAAACATAGGCATTGCTGACTTTATCTTTTAAACGTTTGGTTAGAATGCAAAGGAGTTTTCCATCGACTTGTAACAAACAATAAATTTAGTTGGTTCATAAATTACCTGAAGTTATGTAGACAAAGAGTACTAGAAACTCAGTCTATCACAGGTAACACATGGAAGCATTTAAAAATTTTTTTTAACTTTTTAATCTATTTAGAGTCAGGGTCTTTCTCTGACTCCCAGACTGAAGTACAGTGGCATGATCATAGTTTACTACATCCTGAAACTCTGGGCTTAAGGAATTTCCCACTTCAGCCTCCTGAGTAGCTGGGACTATAGGTATGTGCCACCATGCCCAGCTAATTTTTAAATATTTTTTTGTAGTGATGTCGTCTCTCTTTGTTGCTCAGTCTGGTCTCAAACCCCTGGCCTCAAACGATCCTCCTGTCTCATTCTCCCGAAGTGTAGGGATTATAAGCATGAGCCACCAGGCCTGGCTAGAGAGCATTTTTTTCAACACAGAAGGGCTGTCTCCCACCTGCCTCTAATGATAACTCTTCTGGTCTGAGGCAAGGGCTCCCGCAGGGTGAGAAGCAAAGATAAACTCCTCAGGGAGTCAAAGGGTAAAAAGTTGTATGAACACCTGCAGTCACGGCTCATCCTGCACCGCCTCCTAGATACATCATTTCTTTACTCATAAAGTTCTAGAGCACTTTTGCAGAAGTTGTAGCACTTAAAGCCGTAACACAGAGGATCGGAGAACTGGCTTTGGGGCCAGATTGTCTGATGTTTTATCCTGTTGCTTAATATTTGTATAATCTGGAACAAGTTTCTTCATTTTATGCCTCATTCTACATCTGTAAAATAGAAATAATTACAACACCCATTTCATCAGATTCTAGTGATTATTGAGTCAATACCTGTAAAATGCCTTAAGTATTGTTTGGCATATTGTTAGCGTTTATCACGTGTTATCACCTTTTCATCTCACTATTTCAGTCAATACCAAAACAAATATTGATCTCTACATTTTTCATTAAGACACAGTAGATAAAAAGGTTACACATGGATTCTTAAAGGTAAATTTTCACTAATCTCTTAAATGGCAAAAAAAAAAAAAAAAAAAAATCTAAATTTGGATTTTCCCCTCTTCTTCTTCTTTTTTTTTTTTTTTTTGAGATGGAGTTTCGCTGTTGTGACCCAGGCCGGAGTGCAATGGCACGATCTCGGCTCACCGCCACCTCCACCTCCTGGGTTCAAGCAATTCTCCTGCCTTAGCCTCCCGAGTAGCTGGGACTACAGGCATGCACCACCACACCCAGCTAATTTTTGTATTTTTAGTAGAGACGGGGTTTCACCTTGTTGACCAGGATGGTCTTGATCTCTTGACCTCGTGATCCACCCGCCTCGGCCTCCCAAAGTGCTGGGAATATAGGCGTGAGCCACCGTGCCCGGCCATGATTTTCCCCTCTCTTATCGCTTATCACCACCTCACTGCCAGAGCACACTTTCCTTGGACCAGTGCTGGAGTGAGATGAGAAATGAGAACATTAGGTGGTCTGATCCAAGGCAAAGTAAGACAGGGATGAAGTGGAAGAATAAATTATCACATATTTAAAGGAAAATGGAAGTGGAGAAGTAAAAAGAGAGCACCGTCAAGAAATTTGAACCGTGGGTGTGCTGATGAGTGAAGCGAACAACCCTACGGCTATCAGCTATTCAGGCTGGCCTTGCTTACATGCGAGTTCCAAGTTGTGCCTAAAATTTTTTAAAGTTTTGGGAATTATTATTCCTGACATCAAATTTTGGAAATTAGTATTCTTAAAATGATACCTTGCAAAACACATCGCCATATAAAATGAGTTACCTGATAAACTTCAGGACAACAGAGACTGCAAAAGTCATTGTGAACCTGAACGGTCAAAAACATTCTTACGGAGCAATGGTAAACTAGGTTTTAAATGAAGGAATTCTAGATGTGCGAAACAGACCCCACCAGTGGGATTTTCATGCTCTATTTGGGAGGATTGAAATGGTGAATCTTGAATGAAAATTCCAAATTGGTGGTTTTTAAAGATGAGATTGGAAAGTAGATTGAAGTGACACTGAAGAGACCTTTGCATGCCAAGATGAAGATTTCAAAAAGCAATGTATGCACAGTGGAAAGCTGACAAAACAGCAGAAATTATAAATTTCTCTCATTGCATTCTGAAAGAGAATATCAGTTCTCATTGTAATAAAATGACTACATCAGATGCAGGAGATGCTAGAAATACATGTGCATTTGTCCATTTTCATGCTGCTGATAAATACATACCTGCCCCCGGGTGATTTATAAAGGAAAAGAGGTTTAATGGACTCAGAGTTCCACATGGCTGGGGAGGCCTCACAATCATGGTGGAAAGCTAAAGACACATCTCACATGGCAGCAGAGAAGAGAGAAAATGACAGCCAAGCAAAAGGGCTTCCCCTTATAAAACCATCAGATTTCGGGAGACTTATTCATTACTATGAGAACAGAATGGGGGAAGCTGCCCCATGATTCAATTATCTCCTAGCAGGTCCCTCCTACAACACGTGAGAATTGTGGGAGCTACAATAGAACATGAGATTTGAGTGAGGACACAGCCAAAACATACCAGCATGCAATGAGGAAGCAATCAGAAAGCTTCTACTGGAATGCTAACAGCAAAATGAAGAAGAGTCAATACAACATGTCATAAAAATATGGGAATGAAGAAGTCATTAACCTTGTCTTAGCAGCAGTGGAGTACCATAGTTACCATCTCAGGATTTGAAGTCAGGAGCAATCAAGGTTCATTCGCTCGCCGTGCTGCTCACTTGTCCTGTGTCTTTGTCTCTCTACAGAGTTTCTTCATCTGTAAAATGAGAATAACAATTCGCACCTTGCAGTTTTTTCTCTATATGTAAGGATTAAACAATGTAATTCATACAAATAATTCACCATAGTTTTATCATAGTAAATTAATAAATATTTGTTATCATTGCATCATTATACTTACATAAAATAATTACCTATCATACATTGTCCCTTTTTCTCTAGAATGTAAGATCCCTAAGAACAGGGCCTTTTGTCTACTTTTGTCGTTGATGTATCCCTGGTACCTAGAATAGTGTCAGGCATATCAAAAAGATGCTCAATAAATAATGTGTTGAACAAATTATTGTTACTGTTTTCACAATGGGAACTGGAAAAATAACAAGGCTTTGGTCAAAATAGAGAAGTCAAAAGTGAAACTGTTTTGAAGGCCAGATGATGAGACATATTTTTAGATCATTAATGTTGAGCTCCCTTTAAGGTTTACTTTCCAGCAAACATCATCCATTAACTTAAATACATTACACCAGTTCATTAGAACCAATCAGCAAACCTGCCATCCCCCCTAAAATGAAGACCTAGAGTGTAGTGAAGAATATGCTTATCAGCTCTCAGTTCTCAGAAAGGGAAGAGCGTCCTCAGTGTAGGGTAGCAGTATTTGATAATAATTGAAACACCCAGAACAGGAATTCCAAGGAGCCTTCAATTCATAGAAGCTGGAAAGGAAACTGATCTGTTTCCAAAGATTATGTGACCTTCTCTGTTGTTCACAATATACAAAACTCATTTTTTTGTTTCAATATCAAAATTTTTGTTTAAAATTCTTTTTATGGCATTTTTGTTAAAATTAGTTGGTCATCACCTCATTCATACCTTTCTAAATCGTTTCGTTTTATTCTTTTAATTAATGTTGGTTGGTAATTAGGGTGGACAAATAGAACTTTAAAAAGCTTACAATAACTTATGGCTGCTGAATAGAAATAGGGGATAGAGTTGAGAAGAGAGAACATTTTCACACAGTGATAGGGTTGAATATTTGAGAAACAAGCAAATCAAAACAGTATTCCAGCAATAAATATGTTAGTAGGAAAATAGTACTTGAGTTAAATAACCAGAAAATAATTATATAAATGTCAGCAAATAAAATTCATTATATAGTGAGTAATATAACTCAGTTGGAACAGCCATTTATATAATCAACTGTGGGAGAACAAACCTAAAAGGGAAAGATTTACTGAGAACAAATACTCACTTTGAGGTTAAAGATACTGCCTCAACATTTCCGAATGAAATAACACCTTTTATATGGATACTGATGTTACATAATACTAAATAATTTAGTATCTATGTTCATAGTCTTAGAGTACCATAAACCTTATTGGGAAAGGCAGGTTAAATTGGACATTTCAGAGAGATTTAATGTTTGAAAAACAAGCTATGGCAAAAAGAGGATAAACAAGATCTAAGTGTTTGATAAATCACTGTCAGAGCTACATTTGGACCAATATAGCAGGTGTAGAAATAGAGGCTCCGAGGAGGCAGAGGAAGTTGAAGATGAACGGTATCAAATGTTACCTTTAATGGAAAACAGCTTGGACAGAATGCTCTTAAGCGCTCAGGTTTCTTTATTGCAACTTCCCTTGTCTTACTTTCTTTCACCACCTTGAGAGTGATGCTCCAGATCTCTGGAGCTCAGCACTGGAGTGAGCCACACACACTCTCATTTCAAGATGCTTTGCTATATTTTTGTATGCTTCAACCTAAGAGAAGGCCAGAAAATCGGCACAGTTTATTGTGCCGGGGCAGAAAGCAGAGTCACTGAGCTGATAGGCACGGCCATGGTCTCTGCAAAGCCCAGCTTCCTCACAGCCACCTTTATTTTCATCCTGCAGGCACTCTTATGGGATTTGCTAGTGTGAGAGGGAGGCTACAACATGTAGACTTTGCCCAAAGATGCCCAGTTGAAATCACACTTTGTTGCAGGGGAGATCGTAACTTCTGGTGGCTTTCTTTGATTTGGGCTTTGTATTTCTTTTATTTCAGTTTATCTTCCACAGATTTTACAAAACACTTTTCCCCAGAGACAAGAATGTTTCGGTTTCACCATGTGGAAACCTTCTTGCTTAAAAACTGATAGGTGCTTATAAGAAAGGCATATGTCTTTCATAAAATGGATTCCAGGGTGATCAAGTTTTCACCTGTGCAAGTCCTCACTGGGAAATAAATGTGACTCTAAATGTTTGATTTTAGGCATAAAACCACATAAATGTAATATAATCACCTCTAAATATTTTGACAGAAATGGAACACATTACATTATAATGTTTTAAATGCCCCAGATGGAATGTTTGAACCTTGATTAAATGCAGTATCTTTGATTTTTAAGCCCTACAGGCTATTACACAAATGTGAAAGATTCTTATCCATTTTGCTGATTAATGAATAAGGATTTGAGCTCTTATTAAAAATATTCTGGGCATGTGAGGGATATAGAAATGTCAGAATTTCTGCCTGTAAAAAGTTTTCAATTGAGGTAAAGAAATAATATTTGCAATAAAAGCAAACACTGCAAGGGTAGTCTATGAGATTAAGCACCAGATTCGTTCTCCACTTCGAAAGAGGAAGCACCCTAGAAATCAACGAATTCAACCTCCTTGTTTTACGTAATGTAAAAGTTAGTCCCAAAGAAACATAGAAACCAACTCAAACCAATGTTCCCTGCCTCCAAGTTGAAGACTCTGGACTCCAGTCTCACTCTTGCATTGCTGTAACAGCAGCAGGTGTGAAGCTGGTTGACTGTGTCACTGGATCCTGGTTACCACGTTAGCTGAGTCCTTGAGATAGATCACCCACACATAAGTTATGTGAAGTGGGTTTATTACTGACAGATAGGTAGCAGGGAACAAGAGAATATGAGGTTCACTGTGAGACAGTTCCCCAGCCCAAGAAAGCTGCCTAGGATAGATGGGGTGTCTTCTGTACATGCTCTGCTTGCAGCACAGCTGAGGCATCTCAAAAAGTAGCCTGCCCTGGGTTTTGTACCCCAGAGCAATAGGATACCCTGGGCTAAAGCATGGAAGGAAATCCTGTTTTCTGGAGTGAGGGGCTGGAAGAGCCCTGGCTGTTCCAACCAGCTCCTCTCTTTTCACAGGATGCTGAATTCGCAGCACATTCTGCAGTTATTCTGGAGAACAAGTGAGAAACAGGGCAGAATTGGATCAGCCCAAGGCCATCCGGGGAACTGTCCTGCACAGAGAAGGATGAAAGCCGGTCCTGGATCATGACAGCTGAGGTGCCAGGTAAGTTGAGTTCTTGTGGTTAACCACAGACAAAAGATATGCACTTACATCCCTTGGGGGGATGAGGAGGACAGTCCAGCAGGCCAGTATTGGCAACAGGAAGGAGGAGGATACACCCGGCACCCTCCTATAGTGAGTCCTAAATGTGTATTGCATGTCCACTGCGTCCTAGGCCTACTGATTGGTGATTTATATGCAGCAATTAATATTTGCTGAAAGAATTCTTTATTTCTCACAACAACCTCACAAGGTATGTTTATTCCTAGCTTCAAAAATGACATTAAGGATTATTCGCTCAGTCAGCAAATGTTCACTCATAGCCTAGTGGGTTCCAGGTCTTGTGTTTGATACAGGGCTACAAAGATGGCCCCAATTCCTACTCTCTTAGAAAGCAGACATAGTGAAAATTGAGCTCCAGAATTTATATATATATATACTCTACCTCGGAGTTGTATTACCATGAACTCAGAGTAGTTATAAAATATTTTGAAGATCACAAAGCTTAAAAATGGAAAAGTTAGCTTTCCAAACCAGAGCTTTTTAAACATACTTTAAAGTCCCTACCCTTTTGGTTACAACTCACAGCCTGCTGTTTGAGAGGGTGGCAGAGAAAATGATGTCATCTAGGTAGAATGTATTTGAATGAGGAAATCCAGGTAAGAACAGGAGCCCACTCTCAAGCACAGTGGAAGAATCTAAGGAGACAGCTATTTAAATGGATTCAAACCCAAACATCTTGAGTGAGAGATTTTGCTACCAGAGAGAAGTTTGCAAAATCAGAAGAGGCTATGAGAATAATGATGGACTGTATCTAGCAGACCAAAAGGAATTAAAGATAAATTAACCAAGTGCAGCCAAGGTCATTTTTCTGTAATACAGAATTCATATAAAAACTCATTCTCTCTTCTCCGTTCTGTCTCATATACACTCTCACATATGTGCTACAACTCAGTGGTTCAAAAATCCTTCCCTTGCCTCTCCATACCTCTAATACCTGCAATACATGCAGACCTGCCTGGAAGTCTCTTTGAAATCCATGGGACAGAATGGAGGAACGAGGATGTATCTAATTTCAAAAGTCATGGCCCTGTTCTGTGCTGGTGTAGACTGAGGCCTTATACTGAAATAGCCCAGAGATGCCTTTTGAGACCAGGATACTTATGAGTCTGAGAGTTTGCCATGCATGTGGAGTGTGGAACACAGAACACCTATTGTGGGATCATTTTTGCCCCTTTGGCTTAAATTGTGATGTAAGCAAAACAGCAACAGGTAGCCTATTGGTGTTTACCATTCTGAGATACATGTGCAGAACGTGCAGGTTTGTTACACAGGTATACATGTGCCATGGTGGTTTACTGCACCCATCAATTTGTCATCTACATTAGGTATTTCTCCTAATGCTATCCCTGCCCTAGCCCCCCACCCCCTGATAGGCCCTGTTGTGTGATGTTCCCCTTCCTGTGTCCATGTGTTCTCATTGTTCACCTCCCACTTGAAAGTGAAAACATGGTGTTTGGTTTTCTGCTCCTGTGTTAGTTTGCTGAGAATGATGGTTTCCAGCTTCATCCATGCCCGTGCAAAGGACATGAACTCATCCTTTTTATGGCTGCATAGTATTCCATGGTATATACATGCCACATTTTCTTTATGTAGTCTGTCACTGATAGGCATTCGAGTTGGTTCCAAGTCTTTGCTATTGTGAATAGTGCTGCAATAAACATACGGGTGCATGTGTTTTTATAGTAGAAGGATTTCCAATCCTTTGGGTATATACCCAGTAATGGGTTGTACTATAATCCCATTACTGGTGATTACCATTCTTAAGTGAGGCAGCCTTTGGAAAACGTGAGGCTTGTGAACTTGTGTTGGATATGTAAATGCAAGAATTTCAGTGTTTATATCTAAAACAACTGTAATGAAAAAGTAGAATTGTCCTCAGAGCAGTTGTTATGATTTGGCTGTGCCCCCATTCAAATCTCAATGTGAATTGTATTTCCCAGAATTCCCACATGTTGTGGGAGGGACCCAGGGGGAGGTAATTGAATCATAGGGGCTAGCCTTTCCCATGCTATTCTTGTTATAGTGAAGATCTAATGGGTAATCTGGGGTTTCCACTTTTGCTTCTTCCTCATTTTCTATTGCTGCCGAGACTCAAGCCTGTAATCCTAGTACTTTGGGAGGCTGAGGTGGGTGGTTCATGAAGGCAGGGATTTGAGACAAGCTTGACCAACATAGTGAAACCCCATCTCTACTAAAAATACAAAAATTAGCCAGTCATGGTGGCACATGCCAATAATCCCAGCTACTCAGGAGGCTGAGGCAGGAGAATAGCTTGAACCTGGGATGCTGAGATTGCAGTTAGCAGAGATTGCAGTGAGTGGAGATTGCAGTGAGCAGAGATTGCACCACTGCACTTTATAGCCTGGGTGACAGAGCGAGACTCCATTTCAAAAAAAAAAGAAGTGCCTTTCTCCTCCTGCCACGATTCTGAGGCCTCCCTAGCCATGTGGAGTTGTAAGTTCCAATTAACTACTTTTTCTTTCTGGTCTCTGTTAGGTCTTCATGAGCAGCGTGAAAACTGACTAATACAGCAATTTTGTGATTCTCTTACAGATGAGTACTAACAACACTGGCCTATAGTGTTTGAACAAACATGTAACTATAGTGAAATAACGCACAATGAAACTGAGTAAAGGGCTTGTGGCTATTGTGTTCACTGCTCCAAACCCCTAGAGCAGAACAAAATACTGAATACTGCCCCGCCCCCTGCAAATAAATGACAACTCAGGGCTACAAAAGGGTCAGTTGTTTCAGGGGACCCCATTCACTCCATATACTTTCTATGCCCTGAGAAAATGTGACCAAAATACTAAACTGTAAAAATCACAAAGCCTTAAAATGTTTTAGACTCAAGGCAGTGTTAGAGATCACCTGGTTCAATGATTATTAATCTTTTGGGGGAATGGAAATAATCTAATGTAATTTGGTGACTCCCTGAAAAAATGCACATATGCCTATTAATACAATTTTTCATGCAACTTTGGGGAGTTCAGGACTTTCTTAAACACCTTATTACCAGATTAAAAACTCCAGAGCTAGTGAAACCCTCCATTAAATCAAAACTCCTCACTTTGCAGGGTTCAAGTGCCCTCCCCAGGGTCACATGGCTACCTGGAGCAGAACAGGGTCCCTGCTTGTTCAAACACTATAGGCCAGTGTTGTTAGTACTCATCCGTAAGAGAATCACAAAGTTGCTGTATTAGTCCGTTTTCACGCTGCTCATGAAGACGTTGGAGCAGAACAGGGACCACACAAGCCAATACTTAGCCCACATCTGATTAGACTTAACCACCCACACTATAGCAAGGTTGTATCCCAGGACTTAAATTCACCTCCTGAAGTTAACCATCAGGTTTCTTCTTGTTTTAATTTATGATTATGCCTTATCTAGCTCCATTAGTAACTCTTTAGATAGGCTTGAACTAAAAGAGATTTTTAATTAGGTAGCACTATTTCTTTTTGATTAACTGTATTTTCTGTTCTGCTGCTTTTATTTTTTATTTTTTTTAAGTTTTCTTGTTACTTTGAAATGCCAAGGTATTATCTCTTTAAGAGGTGGTAGAAAACATTTTAGGGCCACTCATGATCATCTCAGGGATAGTACCAGAATATCAGATATTTATGCCGCTACATTAAATTGCTTTAATGTAAAATAAGATTCTAGAGTAAATAGGCTTTAAAATATCAGAGGCAGTTATCACTTCTATTGAAAGTCATAGGATGATAATCTAAAGTAGATATTGTCAGCTTTTCTGATGAGGTAGGCATGCTAATCTTAATACACAGATTTAAAGAATGACTTTCCTGGTAGGTGACTGGAGGTTACAATGTTATGTACCATCGTAATAATGGCGATTGTTCATATACTAACATATAGCCATTATTTTTTCATTGTATCACACCAATGGGCAGGAAAGAAGTAACACAAATCTGAGTTATGAACATGTGATCCTTTTCTAACCCCATTTTTCTCTTCTCAGCCAGCAGTTGGGTTCATCACAACTCCTTTGTTCTTCGTTTGTACCTTGAAAATAGTTCTATCATTGATTTATTAGACCCCATTTGTTTGTTTATTTTTCTTACTCCTCAAATACGGTCTTAGCTTATTAAGCACTGAGGCTCTCTTCTTTTATACTATGGAAGCACAGTGCCCGACACATACTAAATGCTCAATAAATGTCTGTTGAATTAATAACCAAGGGAAGTGAATAATATTAATTTTCTGCATACTCCATTAGCTGAGGACATAACCAAACAATGACAGAAAAACTTTAATAAAAACTACAACAAAGAGATTTTTTTTTTGCCGTCCCTCTATTAAAATTGTTTGTCATGGTGCATTCTGCTACACCAGCAAAAAAAATAATAATAAATAAATAAATGAAACAAGGGGACAGTACCATTACTTCTTCAGAGGTCGGAGAGATTGAGAAGGTCATAAACTTACAGATTTGCTGAAATTGATTATGATATTTGAGATTTAATTATGATATTTGAGATGGGATTTCTAAAGGATTTGGTAGAAATTAGATTTTCCATCTATCCCCTAATAAAACAAAGAGAATGCGTTTCAAAACACAAATGCTCTAAATAGAGCTTAAGGTAGAATTGTCCTGAGACTTCATCAGTATTTACAGGAGGTTTGATGAACAGTTCAGGACAGATCTTACTGACACATCAGATATTCAAGGCCAAAGCCATGTTTCATAAGACATCTTTGTATCCCCAATACTAAGTATATAATCTTGAACACAATAGGTGTTTTATATACATCATATACATGTATATACATCGTATATGTAGATGTAGATGTATATCATATAGATATGTATAGATGTAAATATAAGAATACATATATTCTTATATACATCAAGTTTTCTTAAATTAGTATTCACCTATGTCAAGCGATTTTTGTGAGGTGCTTAGAAAACCCTACCATCAACTTTATCTCTTCTATCCAACTGCCTAAGAATCTGAGACATTCATTGCTATAAATTTATCTCTTTAAGTTTTTCTTCTATTACATGAAGTTTTTTAAAACAAAGAGTTAAATAACATTCTGCAGAATTTCTTAAAACATATAGTGTGGTATTGTGTCTTGTGACTATCCAAGAGGGGAGATATATTCAACCAGCTTTTCCAAACGTCTCTGACCCAAAAACTGTTTTCAAAAAACATATTTTTTGACTATTATTGCACAGAACACCCATTAGCAATGAATACAATGAACTAATGTATTATGGTTTCCTTGCCATAAGTAAAGTTTGGGGGACTTTACTGCAGAGAAACTCTTGAGAAGGTACTTAAAGTGAAAGGAAAGAAAAGGAAGAGGTCCTAAGAATAAATGGAATTATTTTGCAATGAAGTGTTATTTCCCCAAAGCCCTCCTCTTCCTTTCCTTGGGAGAGCATGAAATATGCTCAGGTTCTCATGCTGTGTTTGCTACAAACAGCGATAACAACAACAATCATTCATGGTTATTGAGCACTGACAAAAAACAATGTGCACATTTTTATGTTTCTGCATGGTCACGACTTTCTGAGCAAAAATTATTGGCAACCTGGCTGAAAGGGTAAGTGAATAGTAAAAGCCCTGAACGTTAAAAAACAGTGAAATCCCCTGGGGAGATGTACAGGTGTGTCTCTGTTGGAGCCATGTGTTCGTGTTTCAAAGAACTGTAAACACCTAAGGACCTTCTTGAGTTTGTCTTAGGGAAAACTTGTTTACATCACAAAACCAAAAATGTTTCCATTTTTCTTAGGAAGGAGGAGGGGTAGCTGTTTAGCGCCTATAGAAGCTCTGAGGTTCATAATTGCGGGGCTTTTTTCTCTCCTGTGTACAAATCCTGCTTTGCATGCACAGGAAATATCCACCCTCATCATTTTGCTCTGTGGGAGGACTGGGAATGGGAAGTAATCAGTCTGCTTCTGATCCAGAAACCTTTGTTAACTGTCAGGATAAAATAGATTAACGTAGATATTAAGAACATGTCAAGCCTTTATTATGTTGCAGGGACTGTGAAGAGCTCTGTATACAATATCATGTTTAACTTTCACATATCTT